AACGCGCCCTTGAGCGCCATGAGTTTGTCACGCATGACAGTTTGGCGAGTGTTGGTTTCCACTGAGACGGCTGGGGGCAGCAGGGTCCGCAGCATGCTCTTGGGGATAAGGGGGCTTGTGAGGGATAGTTAAGGGGGGTGCTGCGAGGAATAAGAGGGGTGCTTTGAGGAAACCGTTGCAAGGATGGAAGGCGCATGTCGATCAACGCGCAGCTCTCGCCTTGGCGCCGCACGCTCTCGTCTTAAACATTGGCAGCAGCTTCAAGGACGGAGGGCACATGTTGTTCAACGTGCAGCTCTCGCTTTAGCGCCGCGCACTCTGTTCTTAAAAGTTTGCAGCAGCTCCAAGGATAGAGGCAGCACGTGAGCCAGCTTGAGACATGTTGGACCCTTGCGTGCCCACTGACATCGCATTTGAGGTCAAGTTTTCCACAATTCAACGCCATCGCATTTGAGGCCATCGCAATGTTCGCATATCTGATGAGTTTATATCATTTTGAACGTGAGCGCGCGAATTCCTGAAACGCGTGAGCGCGTGAATTCCTTAACCAAACCCACGCTTGAGCATCGTGAGTTTGTCCCGCATGTTACAGATTTGCGAGCTGTGATTTTCCCTGTGGCAGCTGAGAGCGACAGGGTCCGCATGTGAGTGTGGCAGCCCTCGCGGGGGGGGAGAGAGAGTTTTTGAGGACAGAGTGTCTGAAAGGAGGAGGAGGAGGATGAATAGGAGGGGGAGGAGAGAAGGAGGAGGAGAAGAGAGGAGGATGAGGTTGATGAAGCTGGCACTGGAGCATTGTATTTCGCACGATTTATAAGCTCCAAGTTGCAGATGAGGGTGCCCATTGAAATTGCATATAATTGGCAACTGTTGCGCGGTGGGTGATGCGTTGTTGGAGGGTTGTTTCCAATGGGTAATCCACCGTGGGCTGCCCTGCGCGCGAGAGAACTTGCGAGTCCAATTTGAAAGGCCTGCAATAGAGATTTTCTATTTCCGCAAGAATTGTCATTGGCAATGCAATATTTCATGAGAGCGTTCGTGTAGGGATTATCAGATC